GCTCTTCAGCTCAAGGCTAGCGCTCTACCACTTGAGCCACAGCGCCACTTCCGGCTTTTTTCTTTTTGCTTATGTGGTGCTGAGGAATCAAACCCAGAGCCTCATGCATGCAAGGCAAGCGCTCTACCACTGAGCCACCTTCCCAGCCCCACAGCCATATTATTATTCCCATTTAGAGAGAGGAAATTGCAGCACAGCATTCAGTTGGTGAGGATTAGAATTAGGATCCAAATCCACATGATTTGCCCTAACAACCTGTGTCTCCTTACACGGACCATCAAAGTTATTCCCAGCTCTGAGCTGCTCTGGTCATCAGGGCAGAGCTGACCACAGTGAGTGGCCCAGGGTGGTTATTATCAAATGCGTGTGGTTCAGTGTTGAAGAAAGCATGCGATTCAACATCTCCTTCCCTACAGAATCTATAGTTCTGTAAGGAACGGATGGAGAAGACAGCCTAAAATGTCATTCTCTTGCCTTAACCCACCATCTCTCCTCTGTGGAAAGAGACTAAAGCCAGACCCCGATTTTATAAGTGAGCGCGTCAAGCACGCACGCATCCTGCTCAGGCTGTTCTTCAGTGCTGTGTCCTTGCTGTTTCCAGAAGTACATCCCACTCCTTGGGACAACTTTCTGCAACTCTTAGTTATAACCAACTTTCCATTTCTCTGCTTTTCTTTGTGCTTTGTACTTTTATGAAAATTATATTAAGGAATTGGTGTATCATTTCACATATTTTTACATTTAAACTTTATTGAATGTGTTTTCTCTTAGAATCTATTTTTTTTCTTACCAGCAGAAATAATAGTATAATTAACTTTAAGCCATCAGGGGCAAAGACCTGAATCTTATTTCTGTCTCTTCATTTTTCCTAATTTAACAGTGCTCAGAACAATTTCACATGTGGGGTAAGCACACATCCAGTGTCTATTGGCTTGCTGAAACTACCCAGGGAAATACTGACAAAAGTGAACATTCTCAAGTCATGAAGAAGAGGAAAGGAACTTTGCTTACATGGAGAAGGGACATTAACCAAGGTTTTGTAGGGAGAGAAATGGAGAATGGCTGAGGACTGGCCATAAATATCTATTTAGGATGAGATCCTTGTTGTATTCAGCAAAGAGAGCTCAGCTTAAAGAATTCCAAATATTAAAATCAAACAAATCAAGATGTTAATAGTTTCAACGATACAGTTTTCCTTCAGTAGGTAAAACCCTAAACAACAGCTGAAATAGTTTAAGGATAAGAAATTGGTGTCAGCTGCTACAAGGTGGAAAGTTAGCTCATCAAGAACTTATCAACTTTAATTTATGCTGCAAAAGTTTTACTTCCCTATATTAACACCTGGGATTGAGATTGCCGCTGATAGTTCATCCCATTTTAAAGATTCCTTCCTAGTCAAAAGTGACCTGAATGGGTGTGGCCTCAGTGTTTTATTTCTCAGATCAGAAAAAAAAATCTGGTGACTAGTTTGGCCTGTGACTTATTTCATTAACAAAAATGAGTTACTTTTTCTTTCTCGTTCTTGAAATACACATTCTAGACAGATTTACAGCCTTATCTCTCTAAGGACATCTCTCTTACCTGGAAAAAGTTGAAAAAGAAGAATCAGGCCAGTAAAAATGAAGGGAAAGATTTTCATGTCTCCAGATACCCGTGAAGAGATTACAAAGAAGGTGAAGTAGTTGAATCCTTGCTCTTTCATCGAGAGAAGCTGGCTGCTTGGAATTGGCCAAGCTTGAAAGTCACTTTGCATTGTAATGTTCACTAAGAAGTCAGCGTTTTCCGTGCTCCACTGAATAGTGTGTGGGCGAACAGGGGAGAGGGTTTAGGTAGCAGGGAAGGAGCGCTGCCGTCCTGCTGGAATACCCGATTCTATGTCTCTGCCTAGATGTCTCCCATTTTTTTCTTCAAGTCCCATTTCAAATACCACTGCCCCCTTAATACCCTCTTCTTCCTACCTTCAGATTTTACAGATAGCTTACACTTTAATAAGTTTCATTCAGCATTTGTTACCTGGTGCCTAGCATAATTACTTAAAAATTGTAATATATAAAGATGAATTTCCTCAAATAAACACTGAACTCCAGAAAGACAAGCAATCTGC